TCCTGCTGACCTCTACCATCAGTGTCCTAATTAGCACAGAGCAACACTGACTCCAAGCTTCTGCTTATTTGCTAGGAAATCTCCTTCCTATTCTCTGCATTTCAATGCCACATGTGACTTTCCCACTCTGATGATAATGTGTATTGTCAACCCAGCTGCTGTTTCAGCAAAGTGTTTTCCTTTGAAGTACGTGCTGTTTTGTTTCAGGTTACTTTTTCATATTAGCAATGACAAAAGTAAACCCAGGGTTACTCCTTGATTTTTATTTTCCAGGGTTTATTATTGTATTTACATTTCCCTGTAAGAAGATACAACCCTTTCCCAGTAAGAGTTCTAATACCTTTCTATGTTTCAAATACTAATGACCCATGTACCCATAAGGAAAGGAGAAAGATAATTGGTGATGAAGGAGGTATCTCTAGGGGCTGATGCAGATGAATAGAAAACTTAAATCATTATAAATATTACTGTACTACACTTTGGTACAACCAAAAAAGAAACCTTCAAAGAAAATATTTAATGTTTCCTAAGTCAAATAATAGTCATAAACAATAGGAAAAGAAATTAACCACATGGGGGGGTTTATATCTGTAAAAAATAAAACAACTACTTGGCTGCATTGCACATAGGCAATAAAATTAGATTCATTCAGATCCCTTTTAATGTAAGCCTCGTTTCAGGCTGTAAGCAACAAATGTCCACTGTGCTTTACAAAGGACGACGACTAGAAAAATCAATGCAAACAAGTATCCCTTTCTTTTCTGATTTACCATTTATCATGAGAGATGACAAACAATGAAGTCTCCTCTGAGTCTGAGCGTAGTTGTATTAGCATTTTGCTAGTACCGTACCAGGCAGTATACAAAAACAGCCATCGTGTGTGACACCTCCGACACCTACAGGTAGCTGTTTTAGGGGCACATCCTGGTTTGTGGTGAAACAGGTTTAACTCAGCCAGCCTCTTGTACCTGCTCAGGTTATCATCTCAGTAACTCCAAGGTTGGGCTGTCTTGTTCCTATTGCTGACTGGACTGACTGCTCCACCATCCATAAACAGAAGGCATAAAGGTGATTACAAACATAAGAAAGTAGTTTTACATATTGTCTTGCAGTCTTTCCATATAGTCCCTAAGTTCCTTGGAATCACCAAGATTCATATCTTGGCATACCCATTTAATATTATCATCACTGTCAAATAGAATTGAGTTGGTGTAGGGGCCTCCATCCTCTGGCAGTATCGTTGTATATGAAGTGAACTTTACTCGCTTCTGCTTTGGTCCAGAAGGATTTATAGGTTCACTTTTAACTTCTTTTTCACAAAGGTACTCAGAAGATCTGAGGATATGATTATGAAGAGTCTTCTGAGAGCTCCCATTAAGGAGAAAGTTGCTTTCTTCAAACTGCATTCCTCTGTCAATCATGGTAGTGCACTCCTCTGATGGGAGCGAAATGTCAACTGTGTTTTCCAGCAGTTCAACCTCATTTCCAAGCCAGACCCAATCATGGGAATGGGGGATATTGCCTTGCTCACTTACAGCAAACCTTTTATGCCTGTACTTCCAAGCAAATGCCACGCAGTTAATCAAGAAGACCAAGATTGCTAAGCAGAAAACACAGAGCAGGGCATACATGCCGATCTCCAAATCCGTTAATCCTCTTGAATTCAATGTGAGATCACTGGGGTTGTTTTCTCCTGGTATTTCTACTTGCACAGGGAAACCTGTGAAGGCAGTTGGGTTATTCTGGAGACCATCCTCCAGGGACTCCTGATCAATGGGATATACGAAAGTTGTGCTTTTGTTTGCATTGTCCTCATGACTGGACATGTCCTCGTGGTTTTTGAACCACTCTTGTACTGTCCTCTCTTGTTCTGCAGGTTTCTCTATAGAATTGCTTGCATGGCTTTTAAAATCTCTATCCATATCATCAATGTCATTAGTGCTTCCTTTTCGGTCTGAATCTTTTTGACCAAACTTCACTTTGACGCTTCCTTTCCCAACAGCCAGAATGCTCTTCCGCTTGGTCTTCTGGCATGGCTCACTGATGACCATTTCAATTTTAATCAGAGGTCCCTGCCCATCCCCTTCCGCCACCACCACAGGCCATCTGGACTGAAGGTTTTGGTGTGCAGACACTACCATCTCATCCAGTGAGGTGACGGTGATCGAGAAGTCCTTGGAGTCATAGATATCTAATGGCGTCACTGACCCATCGCTGAACAGAATCCACGCACTGACTATGGCTTCCTGCAGGGAGAAAGAAAAACATGTGGGAAAGGTAAGAGACAGGTATGAGAGCACAGACCAGGCACTCAGGTGATGAGTTTGACACTGGCAAAATAATTACACAGTTTAACTTTGGGTTTGGGTGTTGGCTGGGGTTTTTTTTGTCAAAAAGAAAATCAAAATGTCTGCTTTGCTCCTCGTTTTCTTCTTGCAGATTTGTGTTCTCTGGACCACTTGCTCAGGCTTTTCTCTCATCTTCAGGAACTATCAAAGACAGTCAGCTAAATTTAATGAAGGGTGCTGACAAAATTGTAGGGTTTTTTCAGTCTGAAGTGAGGAGCCTCTTTTGAATGGTAGAGCCTCATGATAAAAATATTCCAAATAATGAATATTTCCAAGGTCCTGGTTAATTAATTTTATAAAGGATCTGTAATGGGGAATTTCTGTAGTACTGCAGTTCTAATGCCAGTTTTAATACAACATGCAGAGCTGTTATGTGTTGGGACTGGTGTTCCCATTCAGCCCACTGAAACAATTTACGTTAAGAACACATCTTTGTGCCGTATCCTGAATTTTCTGTCATGCTTTTAAATATAGAAGATTACATGAAATACACAAAAGTGATTGTAGCCTTTTCTGGGAACTACAGAAACACTCACAAAAATATCATTTGTAAGGATGTTTTGACCAGAACAAGTCTTCTTACTGCAAACTGCCAGTGTTAAAAAGATAGTTACACTTCCTATAGTGATCTAGAGTCTCAATTCTATGATAAATACAACAAAAAAGATACATATAAATTAATTTTAGATACTATTTTGGATCATACCTGTTTCGGAGTATGAAGGATATCATATGCAGAGGTGGTAGAAACGATAGCTCTCTTGCTTCCTTTGCTGATTTGTAAGGAGATGGACAAGCCTGAGACTAGTTGTACTCCTAGATCTGTAATGGTTACACGGTCATCTAGAACGATCACTGTCTTCTCTGCCAGGATGGAATCGGAAAGAGGTGACAGAACCTTGAAAGAGAAAGCAAATGTCTTGCATGAAACACCAACTAACTGCTTTAAAACAACATTAGACTCTAATTGGCCCAGTACTTTGTATTCATCTTGGGGTTGTCACATCCATGTATAAGCTGTAATTGATGTTTCCCCCAAGACTTTGCACTTATTTGCTGCTAAATTACTTTAGTTACAAAAATAATCTAATAAAACAACCAATTGCTTCAAAATTGCAGCTTCACCTCTACAATGGAGTACAGATTAAATGGATTTGTTTTGGGAAAGTCATTTTTGTGTGGGCTATAAAGCTCCCTGTGCATGCAGTTTAGCATGAGGCATAGTGTAAGACACTGATTAACGCTGAAACTCAGTAAGGGTATAAGTAAGCGTACAAAGCCTGGCTGATAGGAACTTGGCCTGATGCCTTTGTAGGGACAGAGGACCTGAATTAAATGAAAGAGAACTTCGAAAATCCCACTGGGTGCCCGTCTGCATTTTTCAAAGCCAAAATAGTCCCATCAGTTGTTCTAAGACCTTGTTTCTAACAAGCTCAGAAAGAAACAGCCATCTTTCTAGTGATGCCAGAAACAGCTGGTTCAGGCCCAAAATATTTGAGATGTAATTTGTCTAAACATGAGAAATCCCCAGCACAGCTCCCTGCATCGGAGCTTGCTGCCTGCTGCTCTCTTGTAGTCACTGGAGTGAAAGATGCTTTTTAAGAGGGCAGAAATCCCTTGACCTCGCTGTGATGTTTGTTTCAGGCTGAAAGGAGCTGAGCTCTAGAAGTACCTGTTCCTTTGTGCTGACTACAAAGGATGCCTAGTGTGACTGGAACAATATGGATGTTTGCAGTTAAGAGCTTGTATTCCTTTATTTTGCTTAAGAAATATGTACGAAGTTAGACAGAGACAGGCAGTGATCATGAACACTGACAGATTTCTGATGGTTATTTTTGTGTCCATTTGGTGAACATAATGGGACTAATTTTTCACAGATGTTTAAGCATATAAAGATGTACGTAGATCTTTGGTAAAACTTCCCAACAGTTAAGTTCACAAGGTCCCACTTAATTTAAAAGGAGTTAGGTATGTGCAGCATGTAACCCACTTCAGTGTTCAGAACATCTCACTGTGTTGTCACATGAACGTGGATAAATTCCATCAGGAGTTTCACCTAAAGGTATTTTAAGGAAGTTATGAAAACCCCTTCAAACTTCCTTTTATGTTCAGCATGTACATTTTTTTTCAGCTTTTTTTTTCAGAGAACAGTTAGTTTTCTAAGCTGTCTATTGTGTGTGTGCACCCAGAACTCCCTCTATGGAAGCTGCAGAGACATCGTGGGCTGTACCTGGACTGTGGTGATGCCATGCTCACGACCAACCAGAACTCGGCCATCCTGAAGCTTAGCAATCTTGGGTTCTTCTACCTTCATGAAATCAGCCACGAGGTCAGTGATGTCAAACTGCCACTCAGAGCCCAGCATGTAGGTCAAGTGGCCTCCAAACTCAGAGGATTCAGCTACAAACTGTGTGAGGACTCGCACCATGGCATGCTGATACTGGAGGGTACAACCTTTTCCTTTTTTCTCATCATCCTCTTCATCCTCACTGTCACGGGTAGGCCTGTAAATAGATCCAGGTTTGTTATCTGCATTGCCATGATCTCCCTACAACACTGCAGCACTTCAGCTGCATGGTATTTTCAGTTAGATTAACGTTGTTATCATCTGCTGCTGTGTGAGAAAGAGGAAACCAGAATTTGGATGGGTAGGTTACTATATCTGGGTGGGATGCTTCTGCAGCTTTTCTGTGCTGTACAATTTTAAAAGCTACTGTCACTTCCGTTAGTGAATTCCCTGTTTGAGTGGGACCTCCCAGCAACTTGAAAATATGTCTGCTATTGCTGACATTTCAGTGGCACCACTGCTTGTTCACTGTGTCTGCAAGCAGCAGCCAAATCCTGTACAGGGCTAAGGAAAGCAACCTGAAGTGTTTATGAGAGGGCAGTTTGGGAACAAAACCCTGTGGCAGCTCAGCAGGGATGGGAGAAGATGTTTTAACATCCTTTCCTCCACCTTTGCCCATAACATTTGTACCATTTTCCTCCTCTCTTCAAAATTATTGTAACACACTGAGGATTCCCTGCTTTAGGTAATGCCACCACGCTTTATCCCGTATGTGTAGCTCATAGGTTCATTAAGCTGTCTGCATCTCAGAAATGCACTATTAAATCTCATACAGGTCATGCAAGTGTCTGGTATATTTAGTCAGGTAATGACCACAGGGGGCTTCCACTCAGGACATGAGTTACTCAGATTACACCATGCAGACTGCTGAGGCTACCACTCACCCCACAGAAACAACAGCAGCATCAGACACTAATGTTTTCTAACTATCCATCCCCCCTGCAAAATACAACCCCTGACAGCATAACAGCTTCCCATAAACCTTCCTCTATACGGCAGCCCAGTGATTTGTACCTGACAGCTGTGCTGTCACACCTCACAGAGCTTTGTCTGGTTTCAAACCCCGTTTCCCATCAATTCTTTTCCTGTGTGGTGGTGTTTATTCCTTGGGACAAACACACGGATTCTCTCTCAAGTCAGGTATTAAGCACCAGGTGGTCACGCTTTTACTCATTATGCCCCCATGCTGTGGAATTCATTGCTCAGAAATAATTTGCCTTCCTCTTTTACTTATTTATTGAGCCTGAAGCCACCTCTATAGCAAGGGTGAAACACTCAGGGTAAGCCTCTTATTTTTCACAGTATTTTGGGGAACTAGTTTTGTGTTTATTGTATCCCTTTATCTTCTCCTTTGAAATACGAGCTATGAAAAACTATTATAAAACAGAATTGCTTGTGTTATAAATTGTTTTATGACAAAGTTGGCAAACAGTCAGCTGAAAACATATCTAAGAAAAGCCCTTGTTCTCTTCAAAATGATCGAAAGTCCTGGTGTTACAGAATCTAATACACTAGAAATGCATTTTCAGTGCACCACTTGGTAGCTGAATATGTAATATATATGTGGCCTAAAGTAAATGGTATGAGGTACAGCTTTTTTGGGTTTGTGTGTGCAGAACAACAGTGCCCATCATTAGTCACTGAAACATCACTGAATAATCACTGAATGAATAAGAAAACAGCAGGATCCTAAAATGGGATTTATTACACAAAAATTAGTCTTGCAGAATTAGACTAGCTGGATGTTTTGGGAAAATTCAGTTGTTTTCTCCTTCCCTAGACAAGTGTCAATCTGGACCATGAACTGAACCAGCCAGGCAGCAAAACAGATGAGGGGAATATCCCAGAAGCGACTATTCACAGAGCGTACCTGGCCCATGCCTACTTAGATTGCTTTTGGCTTGTAATGCTTATAAAGAGTTCATGAACTCCTTAACATTCCCACTTCCAGTTCCTGTATGCTGACCCGCTTCAGCTCATCTAAACTATAACCTAGCTCGGAATAACCACAGACTTTGGGAAAACCAAGTTTAGCTCCAAGATTTGGGGATTTAACTCTTTCTTTAGTGATACAGACAGTAACTTAGTACCTGTGCGAATCGTAGAAAAATGCAGAGAAGCTGTTCAGGTAAGAAGTACTTCACGGGATTTGGGGAAAAGAGCCACAGAACCAGTAGGAACCAGTCTTCTCATGGGAAAAGAGACACAGAACCAGTGTTCTGTGGCTTGAAGAAAAATACACGTTTGGCATTCACACTGACTTAATTTTTTTTACACAACTCCCTTTTCTGTTTCAGTTACGTAACCAGATGTGTTACGCAGATCCAATGTGTTACTGTAACTCTCATTTATTCCTGTGCTTACTTGTTTCTACTTTCACTGTTTCAGCTTTTAGACTGCTGGAGTGTTCAAGAGGAAATAGAGCAACTTTGAGGGAAAGAATTGTTCAGCCCCAGTCCCGTACAGCTCATAAATGTGGACTGTGGGAAGAATGACCAGAGGTGAGGAATGCTGTATAATGGCTTCTGCCTGTATTAGCAGGCTGAAGACTGTGGGCAGCCAGTACTACCAACCACAAAAAGATGATTCCAGTCCAACTCTTTCCTGGTGTTACCTCTCACAGACAAAGGTAAGGGCTCCATTTCATTGCAAAAACATTTATAATTGTTTGTATCTGCACACTCATCCTTAGAAATACGTGGTTTCAATTGCATGCTACTGTGGAACAGCAGACAAGCATCCCAAAACCATGGAATGGGCAAGGCACTTTCTGACACCAGTGCAAAGTGAAGAGGGAGCCGTTTGAATTTCCAGTACAAGCTTTGCAAGTCTTCATCACCAGGTACCAGCTCCAATTTTTGCTTTATTTAAACAAATGATATCGATTTCTACTTCAAAGCCACAAATCCTGATTCAGTAATCAGAGCACTTCAGTGTTTTGTTTCCATGGGCGCAACAAAATGTTTTGAGATCCACTGAATTGCGTAATTCCTTAAACTCGTTACAGTGTTTTCAGTAGGCCTAAAATCCTTCATGAAGCAGTGAGCTCGTTTTCTTTTTAAGAGATGTCTTCATGAATATAAGCTCTTGCTGCATACTGTGCTTTTCACCCCCTTGGTCACCTCTAAGGTTAGCTCTGGATATCTCTCAGAATCCTTCTTACCCTATTTCTTCCTGTTTGGAAAACTTGCTTGGAAGATTTTTTGCTTTTCTTTAGTGAACCTGTATTGCCAGAATTACATGTAATTTACGTTTCACACAGCAAGCCTTTGCCAGAGAGCTGAATTACAACAGCAGCCCTGTTACAAGGGTGCCTGCTAGCACTGATCTAATCAGTGGTCTGTCAGCTTTACATTATAGACACTGTTGTGAGCAGTTTAAGTAAGTATGTCTCTTTTAATTTGCACCACTCTCAAACCAGGCATCACGTTCTTGGGCCAGGTGCCAGTTTTCTGTTACAAAAAAACCCTAAAGAAATCACTTTTGCTGGGTTTGAATTTAAATACTCATTAAAGAGTCATGTATTTAAAAAACAATTGCAACACTTCTAATTGGGGGGGAAGTAATTTTTGACACAGAATACAAGCCATGGAAGTTAATTTAGTGGAAGCTACAGGAATAAGTTGCAGATAGCTCCAGCCACAGTTCAAGAAGAAACACAGTTTGGTGCCTTCACATGCCTTGAAAATACAGTCTGCCTATTTACAAACATTTCTGTAGCTTTATCTCCATAGGACATTAAAGTCAGTTAACTAAAGGAGGGAATTTACAGTGTGTTCAAGCGTTGTGTGGAGGTTGTTAATCATACTTGGAATGGTTTGAATCTGGTTTCACTTAATTCACCTTCAAGTATGGCTTCATTTGTGAGTGGCAGCACCCACACAGAGGTTTCCATGAAGCAGTTTTGGTTTTTCCTGCATTTAACTTAGGCTAACTTCCCTGCTTTGTCTCTAGTACTAGACAGGACCAAAACAGAGCTACCACCTAATTAACCATTAGTCCAACAGGCTGCCTTTCATAAGCAATACCACATCTCCCTTAACTCTGTTCTGAAGGTTTCAAGGGCTGATGCTACTCTGAGTTGCCATGACCCAGTAATGGCTTTACCAGCTTTGTTCAGTAAGGCCAGGTGCTGGTAAAAGGCCAGTAGACTGTGTGCCAGATAGTGAACATGTGCTGAAGTGACACTGTGTGGTGGCTGCCCCCCGGGAGCCTCGTGACAACAAACTGCTATCCCAGTTGCAAATATTTACTTAAATTTCCAGCTTGTTCTGTGAGCCTTTAGCCATGCAATTCCTATTAATGCAAGTGGAAGCCGCTCACCCATGTAAATGTATGTGCATACAGCTGCTAGTGCAGGAACTTCAAGAAGAAGGTAATTATTTTGCAGATACATGAGGAATCAAAATAAATGTCCTTGTTAGACTAGCAAAGTCTCTTCTACACTCTCATATTTGACTTCTTTGACTTCCATTTATATCTACACCTTTTGTTTGCTGAGGCTGTGGGCTGCTGGGTAGCCCATTGCAGGAGCAGGGTTTCTGTTATCCCAAGCTAGCTCATGGACCACATTCCATATGCATTAGTCATGAGCTCATCCATGAACTGACTTCTACCTGGCAAGGGAGGCCCTTCACATCTGCAGTAGCACACACGCACCACCATAGATCAGGTTCTCTTCTGGGCAATAAACAAAGGTTTGTCACATATTTACAGACTGATATGCTAAACTGTATTACTGCTCTTACATAGAGGAGACTGCTTTTGTCCCAATTTCCTAGTTTTGCTCTTTCTATTCCTCCAGGAAGTTCCTGCTCTTACAGCAGTTCAGACCAGGTGAGAATCCACAGAGTTCAAACTGAGCTGGGCATGGGGCATTTGTAAAACTTGGAAAAACCCTTTTGCATTGCTTTATGGAAATTACTCAAGAAGTCAGGTAAGCCAACATGTCTGTAATCACATGTATTTTACAGTTACAGACATGGCAGGGTTTATAGGGAGAAGCAATACAGTTTATTAGATCAACAAACATCATTGGAAAGAACAGATGTGATCTGAGGCATACAAACACTTTTCAGGACTGAAATAGAAGCTGTTATATTCAGATGAAGAACAGCCATGCTGGGACAGCAGTTTCACAAGCATTTCTTTTGTTGACACCACCAATAAAAACATTTACAAGATTATTGTAAACCCAGTTATATTTTGCCATCTGGCTCAGCCCCTGTGACAACTGAACCAGCACAGCCACACTGAGCATGTGGGAAGGAGGTACTGGGGGAACCAGAGGAAATAGAGCCATGTTCAGAGGTTGGGGAAGTGTCTGCACTATCCCTCTAAGAAATGCTCAAAAATATGTTACCTTCTGTATATGGCTCTACATGAAAGTGAAGTTGAAGCAGTACAATGCTATGGCAACCACACCTGCTGGGAAATGCTTGCATCTGGGGGTTTAAAAAAGGTTAAGGCCTTCTCCTCTCTTTCAGACCTGTCCTCAGGTATCACACAAGACAACGTTCTCACTGTTCAGCACTAACACTGTATGACACACACTGGGCAGGCATGTGAAGAACTACGGGCTGAACCACTGCTCAGAGTGAGTGAGTGTGGCCTTCTGGCTGCATCGCTGAATGAGGATTCAGGAAAAATTAATTTAAGAGAAAAATAAAAGATTGGAAAAAAGAAGAAGAAAACCCACTAAATCTCAGGTAAGACCCATCCAAATCTGGAAATAAAGGAAATGTAAAAACCTTCAGTACAAAGCAAATGTCAGAGTGAGCACAACTAATGCCAGTCCTACACTACCTATGGAGTTAGAGTAACTCCCCAAAGTTTAAAAAAAATCCACGTGAATGTTCCATAAACCAAGAGATAATTTATTTCTAGTTGAAACCTTTCCCATTCCTACGGGCCTGGACTGTTGACCCACAGTGTCATAACCACCCCCCAGCTGCCATTGTGAGACGGGGGGTGAGACAGGGACCACCCTTTCTCTTCCACCCTCCAGGGAAAGGCTTGCTGAAGATGTGCCAGCAGCTCTGATGCAATCTGAGCAGCAGCAAACCCACCCCACTTGCCAGCTTGCAAACAGAGCAGACTCTCAGACCATTATCTTTATTTCAGCTGGCCAAATAAATCAGAACTAGACACCGGGGGGTAAATTTCTAGTACTGCATGTAATAGGTTTAAAGTCAGAATGTCCACGACTTAAGCACAGCTGAATGTCTAACTCACTGAGCTTGCTGCTCAAAGTTTACTCCTGTAATAAATGGCAGCAGCCTAATCCTGCAGTTATTTGCTCAGCAAAATCCCCACTGGTTTTAGTAGGAGCAGTGCCTAAGGGAGTGTTACAGTGCTGGGGCAGGTTACAAGCAGAAGGTAAGTTAAGTGAAACTTTAAGCAGGCAGCATACGTTCATTCCTCACCCAGCACATCTCTCCCTGCCCCATGTGGCAACTTTGCCTTTATCATGGAAGCAAACCCACAAATTTCTCTTGTGCCAGATCCTCATCACTGATTCTGTCACTGCCAGAAGAAATGTCCCCCATAGCCCAAGGTAAGTCAGTCCCCTTCTTTGCAGCTCATTATCTAAACGTCCTGTAAATTCCGTCCTATTACCCATAATTTTATGCCCTCATAAAGTATTAGATAATTCTACTCCACTGCTGCCTGTTTGGGCTCTTTAAGGCTCTTCAATAGCTGAGATGTTCTCCTGGGCAAAGCGAGTGCTTCAGCGAGAACTGCCTCAGTGTTTCGCACTGCACTTACTGCTGCCAGAAATGCTTTTCCACTGTATTATAAATCTGAGCTGGTGTCATGCCTTGTTCTCCAATAGCATTTTTCAACTTAGCCTAAAATCCACCAATATAGCAGTATTACTGGAAGTTCTTAATCTTGCAAATTGTGCAAACGATGGGTATTTTCAGTAGGGAATAATGGGAACAGAGCTTAAAATCCCTGCTTCCGCTACCTCCCCCCTGCCCTTATTTCCCCATCCGCATTTGTCCTGGAAGAATCTGCTCATCACAGTACAGTCTTCAATAGGAACATGAGTGGGTTTTTACCTAATTCAGATGTGCTAAGTGGTGCTTCAGCCAGGTCTGCTGTACACTACAGAGACTGAACAGTCACCCGAAGTTGCAGAATCATAGGATGGTTCAGGAGAAGAGTAGATTATCTAAGTCCAACAGCCCTGGCAGTGCCCAGTGACCTCACTCCTCCTTTCTCCCTATTTCATAGAGCATTGTGGGCAGAACCTTTGAGCACCAGCCCTGCTGAGTATCACACACACACCCCTGATGTTACATACCAGTGGGGGAGGTCCAGGTCCTTGTCCTGAGATTTGCACATCAGAGTTATGATACGATTTCCTGAGATAGTGTGGAATTCCTTAATGCTCCAGGCAAAGCCACTGACTTTTAAACTACATAGATCAGGATAAAATATAGCCTACTGCTACTGCTGTTGGATGTCTTAATGAAGGCCAAGACAGACTGTAAAGCTAATTCTCAACAGGAGAGGTTAGATTTTGAGAAAGACTCTAAAAATGTGTTGTGTTCTAAAACCAGAGGCCCTGGGCACGTATGGGGACGGTGCCAGTGCTGGAAGTGTACCTTTTGTTGGAGGTGACGGGTATCCTCCAGCCTTTGATCTGGCTGAGCTCTGTATCAGAGATCTCGATCTGCAGCGGGAGCCGGGGAACCCAGACCGTCACTTCTAATTGGGTGGTAAAATGCTGGTAAGTGAAGTTAACAATAGTATCCACTTTGCTTTTCATTTCCTTGCCATTAACGAAGATGGAGTCGCAGCTGTCAGAAACCTTAAAAGAAAAAAAAATTAATTAGGAAATGAATAAAAGTTCTTGAGGAAGCCCAAGAACTGATACATCAGTCCAGAGACAACACTGATAATGTGAGCCGTGCGTACTGCAGGCTCAGTTTTCTAATTAGTAGCAAACAGTGATAAATGGACCCCAGGGACACAGTTCTGCTTTCCTCAATGGATACTACTCAAACTACAGAAATAATTTAATGATGTTATATAACCTATGTGAATCTTTTATGCGAGGCAAATTAAACTGTTCATGAATCAAACTCCATGTGCATCAAAGTTTATGTTTACAACTTGCTTAAAGAATCTGGAAAAAATGGGGCCATATGTTAGTAAGAAAAAGACTGACTCAGAACCATAAAACAGAATCTATTCCTTTTTCCTTGAGCGCTGTAACACTGAAAGACAAAGATCCCCTTATGGCTCAGGAGCACAAGTGCAGCACAAACATTCATTTGTAGAAGTTCTCAGTAATGGTTTTTAGCAAAATGTATTTGTAGTTGCTTTGTGTCAGCATTCAAAAACACTGCCAGAACTAGCACATGGGCTCTGAACTACACCTCATCTACTCTCTTGGTCCCAGGGATCCTTTGGCTAAAGATCAAGGTCCTGAGCACAGACCCTGTTTATATAAAGGCCATGATGGACCAACGCCTTTGACCTGCATCCTGAAAAGACAGAACTGCTTCAGGAGGTATGGATTTAAATTGTATTTATGAATGTGTGTGTGTGCACCTTTTCATTTTATGTAAGACATCTAGATTAACGTATAATGTGTTTGTAGATACAGGTACATGTGTACATGCAGCTGTATGTGTATTTGGACCTATATAAAGGTTTGTATTCTGCTTCAAAGTGAGAGAGAGGTGATAGTCTCCAACAGAGTCCATGAACTGTGGTTTTAATCTCTTAAAGCCATGGCTCATGAGATGTAGCTGTGTTACTGAAATGGACTTTGTTCTTGTCAGGACTGTTCTGCGTCGTGTTGTATGATGCATTGAGACTCAGATCTGAAGGGATTCTGGCTAAGCCGGTGATTAAATTCTGGTTTACTGGAGTTACTGAGATAGCTCTTGTAGACTTCAGTGGGGAACACGCTGAATGAGACACAGGTTGGTTTTTGCTCTGCAAATGCCCCTCCCTCAAAGCTTTTCTGTTAACAGGAATTAGGGGTCACTGAGCCAAGAAAAAATACAGAAGCTGTGTAGCAGCCTATTTTTTTTCCCCCAGTGTCAGTCCTCACATCACATATTGACTTTGAAATGTAAGTCTTGTCCTGCTTTTTATCTTGGAATAATGTCATTTCTCTCTTGAGCTCTGTCATGGTATATAGCTGCTAGGTGAACAATACCCGAGTTGTACTATCATCCTGACTGCTCCTGTCAAGCATGGAAGGGGAAACATTTGGAAAACACTGTGCCAGCTGCTCTGTTGGTATATACCCACTGAACATTGACCGTATCGAATGACTGTTGCATGCTCAGTGAGACCACGCAGCCAAACGTTTCAGATTGTCCCTTTGCCAACACCACTGTAGAGCTGATGTCACTCTCCTCTGCTGCTTAGTATTAGGTAATAGCTTTGCTAAAAATACTGTCAAGTGCTTTGAGGTTCTTGTTAGAAAAGCTCGCTGTCCAGTGTCTTTTCCCTCCACGTGCAGTACCCATATATAAAGTAAAAGAGCAGCATTTCCATGTTTGCCATTTCCAAGTCAGCTTCTCGACTCCTAATCAATGTACTGAAACTACAGTCAATTACTTGTTTACAAAGGGACCAAGCCACATGCCCCAGACCACAAGGGATGGGGCAAAGAAAACTACATCACTCTTTTGGAGAGCTGCTCCTGCCACAGAATTTTAATGAATACAGGAATTAAAAAACAATAATAAATAAATCCAGTTATCTGATAAAGAGCTTAAAATGGACTCCAGGCCCTGGAGAACCACACATGAGACGGAGCACACTCAGAACCTTTGTTTCCCCCCTCATAGTGTGTCATAAGTGTCTCTGGAAAGTTTAAGCACATTAAGCAAGCCCATTAATTGAATGAGCAGCTGAGATTCTAAATCATAAAGCCTACACCTAGGGAGTTTTGTGAAAATTAATACAAGACAGAAATAATTAAGGAAACTCAAAGAGGGGGGATAAACATCAAGACTGGATGAGGGGAATAACTAATATCTGACATGGCAGCAGCTAATATTTTAGATTCTCTTCTTGCTGTTTAAAATGTTCTAGTCTTACCAGCAGGCAAGAAAGGTGCTAAATTAGGGAACTGAAAGATGGACTTTAATTGTAGCTGTAAAAACATCAGGCTAGGCTTACAAATTTCATAGATCATATGTCCAGACAGAGCCAGTCATTTGTATACTGACCAAGAGGTAAGTAGAATTCAGGATATATGACTACACTATAGAGGTTCACACAGCAGCCTTGTGTAGAGTTCAGAGCTGGTCTTCCAGAAAATAATCCCATCTTGATGGGACAACTTAAAGAGAGCCATTGTTGTTTCAGTTCTCTAGCTGGAATTTGGGTTTACTCTGCTAGGTACAAGCAAACCAAAGAGTTGAAAGGAAAATCATGAATCCATGATGAAGTATGTGAAACTATGACTACTGTTAACGATTTAGGCTACACTAAAGCTCAACTGAGGAAGCCTCTGTTATCTAGTCAAGGTCATGCTTTGCCTAGAAAGGTTGGGCCAGCTGATCCTTGAGGTCCCTTCCAACCTGGTATTTTATGATTCTATGATCCCTGAACATGTATGGAAAATGCCCAGCACTCTCTTTCACTTGGGATCTACTACAGGCCCAGAACAAAGAATTAGTTTCATCCATGTCTCAGATGAGAGCTGTGGTTTCATGCTGACAGCACTCTGACACCCCTCCAAAGTGAAGAGGGAATGAGAAACACACGTTGAGTTTTGAGGACTCGGTGCCAGCTGTTTTCTCTGGCTAATGGCCTACAGCAAATGTTCCCTTCACTTTCTCCCTTTTTAAGTCTCCTCCATGCTGTTCTAGTCACACTCTGCCTGCCAGAAGTGGCTCGTGATGCTGCTGCAAGGGGAGCTTGTACAAGTTTGGGGAGGGCATGGCTCTTTGCAGCAGCAAGTCCTCAGGTTCACCATGGAGCAAGCTGACACAGCAGGGTGACACGGGCAGAGTTTCACTAGCAGGTAACTTAACACACAGATTTCTTCTGAGCTGCCGCTTTTGAAGAAACGAAGAAGGGAAATGCTGCAAACACAAATCTCTCCTGCAAACACTGCACAGTGAGAGGACACAGGAAAAGCTTAGGCTGCCAGCCTCTCGTCTAAAATGCAGAGAGCAAGCCTGTTTAAAAGAGCCTGTCACCATCCATTGTCAGCTGCCTGACTAAATCAGGAAGTGCTGTTTGAGACAGTTTGCAGCCAGGAGGGCAGGATGGCTGGGATGTGCTCTGGTATGCAGGTCAAGAGAAGAGAGCTGCAATTAACCTTTCCAGGCTCTGGAGCAGGTGGTTGGATCCAATCCCCACAAGTAGTTGTAAAAAGCACAATTGGACCTGTACAGCCTGTCACAGCCTCCTCATTTGAGATTAATCCAGTACAAAAGTAGCTAGCAGTCCAAAAAGTAATTGGGAAAGCATTCAAGAGTCAGGTGGGTGAAGGTTTATACACCCTTTGAGTGAGCAGCTAAAATGGAGGGAATGGGAAGTGACAAGAAAACAAGTAACTACCGCCCTGCTGCGTGGTTCTTCTTTACATGCAGGTTCTATTCCAAAGCTCATACCTTACCCTCAGCTTGCAGGAGACTGAATAAGCACTCACGCTCCTCATGGCTGGTAACTGCTGAGGAGTTTGTTGGTTAAACAAGAGCTTGCTGCTGAATGCCCACTCGGCATCTCTCCACAGAGGAGAGCAAGATGGCTTTGGGAGAGCCCTGCCACACGGGCACCTCCAGCCAGCAGCACCTTCCCAGCACAGGCCTCATCTCCAAGTTCATCTTTTTTCACCTTCAGACATACACTTCTCACTGATACCTACATGAATGGTGTGTATGAACATGTACAATGAATTTTAAAGGAAAAAATGCTACCCAAAGGAATTAACTCTTTTTGTTTAATTAGGTATGAAGCAGCAGTGACCTTAAGTCACCAGATGCAAGAGTGATACCAAGTACAATGCCAAACTGTCCTGTGGCACTTCTCATCTAAGAATTTTTGATCTGCAAAACCTAAAATGATGTTATTTTTACAACCCAGAGGAAACTGAGGCACCGACAGTGTGTATCAGAACTGGGTCTGACACAGAGAGTCTTTTCAGCTGAGAGCTACAGCCATTTGGTTATCTAGTCAGGTCCTCAAATGATTTATATTTGAAGTTCAAATTCACCCTTGAAAAGAGGGCCCTTTTACACTTGCTTTCAGAAGATCCTTCACCAGTAACTCAGCAGAACTGGCCTTTATAAGAGTGTTTTTGCTGAAGTTAAGATCTACTGGCATTTAAAAAGTCTTAAGTTTAACGGGACAGATGTGCAGCCTTTTCAGCCTTGTAACCCTGTTTTGTTTTTTTCCAACAGCAAAACCCAACCTTATTCCAGTCCCTGCCTGAGAAAATGCTGTTGCTGATGTCCAGTGCTCAAGAAGGACCCCAGAACTTGGGCTGGTGGCAGCCACCAAAGTCCTCTGCGAACAGGCCCACCCGGAGTCCTTGTGGAAGAGGAGGCAGGGATGACAGACCAGCAAACTGTGGGCATTTAGAAGAGGTCAGAGGAACAGTGCACAATGAAGGTGTAAGGGATGCAAAGTCTCATTATTGTGGCTGAGGTTTTAAAGAGAACAATTGTAACAAGATTTTAAAGTGAGTGGTGCTTAGAGTAAATGGCTCATTCTCACAATAATCTTAAAACTAATTTTGTGGTATTTCCCAAAGCCTTCTTTTCCTCCTTTTCTGCAGCACTGTTACTAGCATTGTCTTTTTAGCCCATTAGGAAGTACTTGCTGAGCTAC